TCTGTAAATTATCGGATTCTATATACTTTCTAGAAACAAGCAACGTTTATTTGGTTCGTTTATCATAAAAATTGTAGAAATCACAGCAATTTTAGTAAATGATTACAATTTTTATTGCTTTATAATCGAGGGCATTTAAATAAATCAGTCCCGCAGCCATTACCGGAATTTAAAGGGCCATCTCTTAAAGGTTAATCCAGAAAAGCCTTTCAAAGGGACATTTCATGACAAGGTACAATTTTGGTTTCCAGGATAGAAAGTTTTATTTTATTGTATGACTTGCAATAACAGTACATATACAAACAAAAATTTCAGCTTCTTGTTTTCGTGACATTGTCACTGTAGTCGCCATGGCATGCATCGAGTCAAGCAACTTGTTATAACTCTTTTTGAGCTTTAGATGTAGAAATAGTTCAGGCCTCATGCAAATAGGTAATGTACATATTTCTGATTGTACTGTATGTGATTGCAGATCCTCGACATATTTGGGACAGATGGCTGTAAACTGATGATTAATCCAGGACTGGCAAAGCTACAAAGCCTTCTGACTGCAAATCCACAGCTGGCCCCAGAAGCAGCGTCACCATCAGGTAGGAGGGCACATAAGAGGCCCCATTTTTCTGCGTTCACCACTATCAAGACGTGCAGTGGAAAAAGAAGACAGATGCCTGCTGCTCAAGAAGTTTAGACCATGCTGCTTGATCGTTTTGCTGCAGAAGTAATTGACGAGGCTTCCTTCATTTTCTAATGTATACTTGAGGAGCCAAACCTACAATTTGACAGTGATTTTGAATATACTTGGAAACCTGAAGAGATTTTGAATTATTTGGACCAAAGCATAAGTAATTTTTGGATTAGCGTGCCAACTTTAGATGACCTTCTGTTTCTGGATAATGAAATGTGACAAAATTCTCATGTGAAAAATTTACAGTTTCGGAATTCATAATAGAGAAATTTGTTAAATTATAATCTAAATTTATTTTTTATATAAATAGGACTACCCTATGATATTTCATAATTATAAACAGATATTTGTATGATAATAAAGTCAGTTTCATAAACAAATATTTATATGTTCTAAAGTCAGAAGTTTATAAATTGTTATTTGTATATTTATAGATTGTTTGTAAATAAATATCAGTAGAATAGTACTGAAAAAAAACTGTCTACTATTTTGGCCAGTCCCAATTACAACCCTTTTAACTGGAAAGGTAGTAACGAAAAAGAAACTGAAGAAACTTTCTAAGATACTTCTATTATGGTTTTCAGGCCTACACATTTACAGCTTGTTATAAAAATTTGGAAGAAGCTGCGGACATGGACTCCTTGGAGAGATGACCGAACCAAAAGAAAATGGACATGAGATCTGGTACATGGAATGTGAGAAGTATATATAAGACGAGGTCACTCAGGACAGTGGCAGAAGAAATATCAAAATATGAACATACTGTGCGGTATAAATACAGGGTGATTCTAAATTATTGTTGGGGTTTATCATCTGGCTTAGCCTGCATAATCTGCACTTTTTAGGCATGGAGGTGAAAGTAGTTATGAACAACTCTCCAAACAGTCATCTGTGTACACCTGATTGCAAGGAAGCTTGTCTAGTTGATTTTTGTGGACTATGAGAAAACACTTCCTGGATTCGATCAAGATCTTGCTCCTTTTCGATGCAGAACGCTACCAGTCTCTTGAAATTGCTCGAAGCAGTGTCAGATAGCGTTATCTGCAGGCGGAACTTTTCCATATGATTTCTGTAATGACATTGCATTTTGATTAATGGACATACTTTCATACTTTAAATGTATTATTTATCATATGATTTCTTTAATTGGGAATTATTTTTCCAAAAAAGTGTGCCGACTGGATATCAAAACACTTACATCTATTGGAAGACATCATGAAAAAAGAGAAGCCTCTATTTTCTGGTGTTAAAATAGGCATAATCTTGTATAGTTCTAATGGTATGTTCATCCTACTGGTTAATTGTAAGCATTTAATAAGTAGGAACAGCCAGATGCAGGCATTTGTCTGGCCTTTCCACTGCAGTCTGTGTGTGTGTGTCAAGTCCAGGAAAAAGAATAACAGATCCAGATGTAGCGTCCATCTTGGAGAAAGGACTTGAGTCAGGGTGGCAAGTGCAGTTGAGCAGGAGATAGGAGTGACAATAACAGGTTGGGTCTGACAGTTACAGTAAATAGGCGAGTGCATCCGAGTGCCAAAACCCACTGATCCAACTCCATATTATAGGTGAATACCCAAGGGGATACAGGGAAGTGCCAAAGTTCAGATAATTCAATCCAGCTGACGTTTCTTTAGATATCACTATGTCAATTGTGACTGGTCCCAAATTAGCACCCAGTCCTGTTCTCAAAGTAGTCTGTCTAGGAAGCCCTACATCAACACTGCTTCAACCTGTCACCGTGGGAAAAATATCTAATTCTCTATCTCCACAAATCAACAAAAGAAGTGGACAGCAGCAGAGGGCTGCAGTACCAGCAGGGCCAACTGAGACCAGTCAGTGAGCAGGTGCAGTGGGACCACCTTAGGGTGCCGACACTAGAACAGGTGCAGCAGTGTCTACATGAGGGAGGCAACGACAGTGTAGTTAGGTGAAGCTGAATATAAAATAATTGGAAATAAACTGATTAAATGTACACCACAGTGAATCAATAACGGAAAGCAGGAGCAAGACGAGATGGAAACTCACTCAGAAGAATTAGACACGCACTGTGATAGTGGTCTGAATTCGGACAGGATACAGAACAGGAAAGTAAGAACGTGAATATAGTGGCATACAGACCTGTTTGCTAGGCAACGACCATGAGCATACAACAGCCGTTGCTGGGTAATGGCTGTGTAAGCAACAGCTGTTGCTAGGGAATGACCGCAGTAGGTTCATAACATACAATAATGGAGTGACTGGAAAGCGGTGTTCTCTATACGTTTCGTGTGATAGCTATGTGATGCAGCGACAGAAGAACTGTTGGGACAGGTGTTTTCTGTGCGATCTGTGCCAAAGCAATATAAAGAGCTGCTGCAATTATGAGTGTCTCAAGACGGCAGAGGAGTAGGAAGTTGGTGAGAGAGTAGTTGGCCAGTAAGAATGTGAACATGGAAGGGGAGGGGAATCCTTATTTAAGGTTTCCCTGGGAAGCATTTAATTTGAACACTAAAGTGAGGAAACTCTTAAATGTAGGAAATTTAACAGTGAGATGGGTTCACCGAAATTGGACATTTCAGGAGGGAGAATCTGAAAGTAAGGAACACTGAATGGGGGTTGCACTGCAGTTGCCATTGAGTCACAGTGTTTCATAACAGTGGATGTTTGCTTTATGAGCGTTTTTATATGCTGAAGAGACCTTGGGAGACCTAGATGTATATTAGGTGTTATTAAAATTGATTGTAAATAAATACTGTATTTACCATCATCATTTATGGACATTCTTCACTCAAAATGTTGTATCTGAAAGTTGTGGTGCATAAAATATGCAAATACTGCTCTTCAGAATATAATTCCACATATTATATTGAGGCAATTACAAGTCGAATGCAGTGTGGCAATACAGTATGAATATTCATGCCTATGAATTCCCCTATGCTATTCCTTGATGAACACTAAGATAAAAATGCTCCTTGATAATATTTTTATCAATATGTACTTTTCATGGAAAACGTGATTTATGTTCCCTATACCAGGTCACAGTGTATTTCTAAAGTTAAATGCATTATCTGCAAAAATTGTGGCATACTTGCTTAAGGCAGACTTGTGAAATCACAACACACCTGTTGCTAGGGAGCGCAGCTCTGCAAACAACAGCATTTGCCATGCATTGGTTCAGTAGCGATCGCATGGTCACCCCAACAGACACGAACAAAACAGTGGAATATCTGTGGGAAGTGACGTTTTCTGTGCGGCGTGTAATGAAATGTTACAAGCAGAACCAGTTAGAGAACTGTTGTAGTTCAGTCATGAGCGATTCCTCTTAGAAACTGGTAGCTGAGGGCTGGGGATAGTTCAGGAATCCAGAGGAAGGCGAACATTGGCCACTGGAAGCTGCTGCCAAGAAACAGCAGTGAAGGCATAACTACAGACACTAGTGTGTGTAATAATGAACTGTAAAGTGTAGTCATGCACTGTATCAAAATGGGCAACAAATCCTGTCTATAGTCACACTGTATACATGTGACATCTGGTGTCAGGAGTGAGATTGGGCTGATTGAATTGAATTATGGGATTGAAGATTGCACGGTGTACTTACAGCATCATATCACAGAAATGGAACAAATGATGGCACTCCTGCTGACCAAAATAAGAACCAACCAAGAAATGCTGGCCAGAATGGAAGCCAAGATCAAAGCTAAGGCAGACACCAATTTGAGGGAAACAAAGGCTGAAATAAGAACCAATCAAGAAAGGCTGGAAGCCAAGACAGAGGCAAGTAACGAGAAGTTTGAGGTCATTCAAGGTATTTGGTCTCTTAGGCGGATGCCCACCATGCTAAGATAGAAAGTAACCTTGTGGAATGGATGGCCACAATGAAAGCCAGTCAAGAAAGGATGGAAACCTGATGAATATCAGACTATAGACAACAGAGGACTGTCTAGAATAGATTGAGGCGAATCAGGGAAAAGTAGAAGTGAAGATGGAATCATGTCTAGAAAAGTTGAAAGTGAAGACTACTGCGGCACTCGAGATTGGTATCGGGACCAGTGTCTCGCCAAAAGGCACTGCAGACAGCCAAAGAATCAGACCCAGGACAATGGTGGGTCTTGACAGAAGTTGGCCGCTGCCTGAGGACGGTTTAACTGCAGTGCCATTCGTGCACTGCACAAGGGATGTATTTTTAGGGGACCTGGCAAGACAACCAGCAGCAGCATCAGAGAATGAAGCAAGAGATGGGAGCTACATCTGGGAAGCATGAACACATTGTAAGAGGCCCTGGGACAAACTCTCGAGTTGGAAGTTGTGGAGTGAGCAGTCAAGATTTCCATCAGGTTGTGGAAAGTGAGTGACTGGACATTGTGGAGGGGTTGGCCCCCTTCAAAAAGAAAGAAGAGAAGTCAAGAGCATAGCCTTTGGAAAAGAAGAAATGGTGGTATGCAAGTAGGCTACTGGGAATGAGCTGCCTCAAGGAGGGAGCAGCAGAAGCAGTTGGGGAGTAATCATCATGTGAACTGAGCCACAGGGAAGGAAGGCAAGGCTGATCACAGACATCACAAGCACAGCCCCTGGAAAAGATGAGATGGCAATTTGCCTGTATGCTACTTGGGGACAAGCAGCCTTAAGGAGGGAGAAGCGTGGCATATTTGCTCAAGAGAAAATTATGAAGCCAGCAAAGACAGCCGTTGTTAGGGAATAGATCTGCAAACAATGGCTGTTGCTAGACATTGGTTCAATAGCAATCACATGGCCACCCAAACAGACACAAACACAACAATGGCATAACTGTGGGAAGCAGTGTTTCTACATGGTTCATCCTGATATGTTGTAACAGCTATTGCAGTTAGATAGAGAACTGCGGCAGTTCAGTCAATGTGAGCTATTGCTGTTAAAAACTGATAGCTGAGTCCAGGAACAGTTTCGGAACCCAGAGGAATGGGAACGTCTACCATTGGAAGCTGCTACCAAGCAGCTGCAGTGAAGACATGACTGTGGACACTAGTGTGTCTGTGTGTGTGCGTGTTTAATAGTGAACTGTAAAGTGTAGCAATGTGCTCTGTCAAAGTGTGCGTTAAATCCAGTCATCATTCCCAAACACACCCATAATCACACTCCATGCCCATGACAATATGTCAGTCAAAATTTTCTCAGGGGTAAAAATATGGCATTTAATCCCCCCATCCCAACCAAATGGTTAGAAGCAGGAGTGCATGAATTTTGGAGAGATATAAATTAGGTGAATAAATATGTCATGAGTATATGGACAAAATTATGTGGCTCAGGATAGGGTCCAAGAACAGGCTCGTGTGGGCACAGTGATGCATGGCCTGGTTCGTAAAAGGCAGGAAACTATTGATAAACTGAATGAAGGTCTTCAAGGACTGGTCCATGGAATTGCTAGATAGTCATACTTCTACATTGAATAGCCCTATGTAGTACACAGCTGCTGGGAAGTTAGCACACACAAACACAGACAGCTATCAGTCAGCAGTACAACCCATGTGAAGATATGTAGCACTGGCATTCCAAACCACTTTATTGCAGAGTAAGTTTTTGTAAACATCTTTAGAACATTTTTCAGCTCATAACCAAAATGACCATAACGGTAGGAGTTTAGGTTCTCATAGCAATGGTTATGAAGGGTTTTTCTTCTGAGATATAATGCTTTGGTGTTCAGTGAAAGTCAACCCACATTTGGAGGGACACTCCACCTCCATCTTCAGGGTTGAGGAATAAGCCAAGCAAGAAACCGGTGTGAAGCAGGTAGCAAGCAAACCCTTTGTGGTTACGCTGTGTAGTCCTTTGAAAGCCAACCAGCATTTCAGAGGAATATCCCTCTATAGGGGAGAAGAGTAAACCACGTAGGACACAGCATGAAGCAGACAGCAAGCAAAGCAACACATATCTCCAGAATGCTGGCTTACATTGGACTACATGATGTTATATTCCAGAAGGTAGAATTCTTCAAGATCACACCTGTTGCATGTCTAAAACTGCAGAGTAATAATACACCTTATACATAGGTTGTACTGAAAGACATGAGCAACAATTTTTTGTAAAGTAACATGCTTTATTACTGACAAAACCAAATACACCACCTCAATCTACACACCTTTATTTTTCCACATAATCACCACTTCTTTGTACACATTTCTCCCAGCGTTCTGGGAGTTTGAAAATACCCTTCTGTAAAATTCCGTTCCAGCCATCCAAAGGCACTGACACACTGCTTTCTGAATTCAGTGCGCTTATGGAAGTGTGTGCATGGGTGTAAGCAGTGTTCAAATATGGGTGAAATGTTTTAAAAATGGGAACACCAGCATCGAAAATGAGCCTTGGAGTGTTCGTCCTTGAACAGGCTCAACTGAACGCACACAAGGAAAGAGTGGATGAGATCATTCAAGATGACAGGCATGTGACTGTGGCACAGTCCAGTACAGGAGATGATTCAAAGCTTGGGCTATAGGAAAATTTGTGCTCATTGGGTCCTGAGGTTACTGACCAAAGACAACAAAGGTCACATTGGAAGCAATGGCAAAGTTCGGGTGGGAAGTTCTTCCACACCTCTCCGACTACCATCTTTTCGGATTTGTGAAGGATCAGCTGCGTGGACAACGTTTTGAGACAAGGGAGGCAATTCAGAAAGCAGTGCGTCAGTGTCTTTGGATGGCTGGAATGGAATTTTACAGAAGGGGAATTTTCAAACTCCCAGAACGCTGGGAGAAATGTGTACAAAGAAGTGGCGATTATGTGGAAAAATAAAGAAAGGTCTGTAGATTGAGGTGGTGTATTTGGTTTGTCAATAATAAAGCATGTTACTTTACAAAAAATTGTTGCTCATGACTTTCAGTATGACCCTCGTATTATGGTGGCACTGTAGAAGCAGAAGATTTTCTCAGAGATCTGTGGGTGGAGAGGACAAGAAAGATTGGACAACATGTCTCCAACATGTCTGGTACATAGCAAGACAAAAGTAAATGTTTCTAGTACACAAAAATGAATGGCATAAAGTTTTTCAAATTACGTAACATGCTAGAAGCTTTGATTTAACATGTGTTAAGACTGCTTTGGATACACAAAAACAGATCTTAGAAATAACACTTGGCCTGTTATAAATAAATTGAAACAATGTGAAATAATGGAATTGATCTAAATGACGTGTAGAATAATCAGCAAACCACCACGAACATGTACATTCTACCCACCATGGACAACTTTGGGTAGATGAGCAGGGATGCTGCAGAATCTCTGGGCCTAAAAGTTACAAGTCATCTTTTGAGTGACCAGGTCAAGATACAAGAGAAAAAACTCTTCTCATAGAACATAACAGCTCTGAATTTGTACATTATCAATGAGTCCTGTTAATGAACTAAGCTTTACCTGTGGTTCTGGAAGCAGCTTGTTAGGGTTCTTTTTCTGTAAGGCAGTACATGGTTTGTTATGAGAGGGTAACTTGTGACTCATTCATAGCTTTGGCCTGTAACAGGAAAAGAGAGGTGCTCAAGAAGATAAGAAAAATCACTACTAATGCAGGAAATGTACAGGCAGTCTTAAAACAGCAGAGTCATTTAGTGTCATGCCATGGTGCTTATCCTATAGGTTGTAACCCCTAGGAGAAAATATGATTTCAAGGGGGTGCAGAGCATTTTGGTCAAAAATGAGTTTTACTCAGAATGATATTATGTTGCACTTGTAAGTTGTGAATTGTCATAAGCAGGGTCCGGATTTTGATGACTTGAAAATATTTAAAAAGTGACCAAAAAAATCCAGAGAAATGACCTAAAATATGACCCAAAAATGTAATATGCAGGGCCCAGATTTTGATGACCTGAAAATATTAAAAAAATGACCTATTAAATGACCAAAAAATCCAGAAAAATGATCTAAAGGAGAAAAGAAAGAACACTTCGCTTCCATGTTATTCACATTTCAGAAAACATATGAAGAAAATTTCCCTAAAATGGCCAACAATGAGAAGAAATACACTTAAAAGTCCAAAAAATTACCCCCAAAATTAAAAAATAATCTTAAACTTAAAAATGTCAAAAAAATTACCTATAAAATTTACATTTCTGTAAC